CTGCCATCCATGTCACCTTCATGCTGCCATCCATGTCACCTTCATGCTGCCATCCATGTCACCTTCATGCTGCCATCCATGTCACCTTCATGCTGCCATCCATGTCACCTTCATGCTGCCATCCATGTCACCTTCATGCTGCCATCCATGTCACCTTCATGCTGCCATCCATGTCACCTTCATGCTGCCATCCATGTCACCTTCATGCTGCCATCCATGTCACCTTCATGCTGCCATCCATGTCACCTTCATGCTGCCATCCATGTCACCTTCATGCTGCCATCCATGTCACCTTCATGCTGCCATCCATGTCACCTTCATGCTGCCATCCATGTCACCTTCATGCTGCCATCCATGTCACCTTCATGCTGCCATCCATGTCACCTTCATGCTGCCATCCATGTCACCTTCATGCTGCCATCCATGTCACCTTCATGCTGCCATCCATGTCACCTTCATGCTGCCATCCATGTCACCTTCATGCTGCCATCCATGTCACCTTCATGCTGCCATCCATGTCACCTTCATGCTGCCATCCATGTCACCTTCATGCTGCCATCCATGTCACCTTCATGCTGCCATCCATGTCACCTTCATGCTGCCATCCATGTCACCTTCATGCTGCCATCCATGTCACCTTCATGCTGCCATCCATGTCACCTTCATGCTGCCATCCATGTCACCTTCATGCTGCCATCCATGTCACCTTCATGCTGCCATCCATGTCACCTTCATGCTGCCATCCATGTCACCTTCATGCTGCCATCCATGTCACCTTCATGCTGCCATCCATGTCACCTTCATGCTGCCATCCATGTCACCTTCATGCTGCCATCCATGTCACCTTCATGCTGCCATCCATGTCACCTTCATGCTGCCATCCATGTCACCTTCATGCTGCCATCCATGTCACCTTCATGCTGCCATCCATGTCACCTTCATGCTGCCATCCATGTCACCTTCATGCTGCCATCCATGTCACCTTCATGCTGCCATCCATGTCACCTTCATGCTGCCATCCATGTCACCTTCATGCTGCCATCCATGTCACCTTCATGCTGCCATCCATGTCACCTTCATGCTGCCATCCATGTCACCTTCATGCTGCCATCCATGTCACCTTCATGCTGCCATCCATGTCACCTTCATGCTGCCATCCATGTCACCTTCATGCTGCCATCCATGTCACCTTCATGCTGCCATCCATGTCACCTTCATGCTGCCATCCATGTCACCTTCATGCTGCCATCCATGTCACCTTCATGCTGCCATCCATGTCACCTTCATGCTGCCATCCATGTCACCTTCATGCTGCCATCCATGTCACCTTCATGCTGCCATCCATGTCACCTTCATGCTGCCATCCATGTCACCTTCATGCTGCCATCCATGTCACCTTCATGCTGCCATCCATGTCACCTTCATGCTGCCATCCATGTCACCTTCATGCTGCCATCCATGTCACCTTCATGCTGCCATCCATGTCACCTTCATGCTGCCATCCATGTCACCTTCATGCTGCCATCCATGTCACCTTCATGCTGCCATCCATGTCACCTTCATGCTGCCATCCATGTCACCTTCATGCTGCCATCCATGTCACCTTCATGCTGCCATCCATGTCACCTTCATGCTGCCATCCATGTCACCTTCATGCTGCCATCCATGTCACCTTCATGCTGCCATCCATGTCACCTTCATGCTGCCATGCATGTCACCTTCATGCTGCCATCCATGTCACCTTCATGCTGCCATCCATGTCACCTTCATGCTGCCATCCATGTCACCTTCATGCTGCCATCCATGTCACCTTCATGCTGCCATCCATGTCACCTTCATGCTGCCATCCATGTCACCTTCATGCTGCCATCCATGTCACCTTCATGCTGCCATCCATGTCACCTTCATGCTGCCATCCATGTCACCTTCATGCTGCCATCCATGTCACCTTCATGCTGCCATCCATGTCACCTTCATGCTGCCATCCATGTCACCTTCATGCTGCCATCCATGTCACCTTCATGCTGCCATCCATGTCACCTTCATGCTGCCATCCATGTCACCTTCATGCTGCCATCCATGTCACCTTCATGCTGCCATCCACGTCACCTTCATGCTGCCATCCATGTCACCTTCATGCTGCCATGCATGTCACCTTCATGCTGCCATCCATGTCACCTTCATGCTGCCATCCATGTCACCTTCATGCTGCCATCCATGTCACCTTCATGCTGCCATCCATGTCACCTTCATGCTGCCATCCATGTCACCTTCATGCTGCCATCCATGTCACCTTCATGCTGCCATCCATGTCACCTTCATGCTGCCATCCATGTCACCTTCATGCTGCCATCCATGTCACCTTCATGCTGCCATCCATGTCACCTTCATGCTGCCATCCATGTCACCTTCATGCTGCCATCCATGTCACCTTCATGCTGCCATCCATGTCACCTTCATGCTGCCATCCATGTCACCTTCATGCTGCCATCCATGTCACCTTCATGCTGCCATCCATGTCACCTTCATGCTGCCATCCATGTCACCTTCATGCTGCCATCCATGTCACCTTCATGCTGCCATCCATGTCACCTTCATGCTGCCATCCATGTCACCTTCATGCTGCCATGCATGTCACCTTCATGCTGCCATCCATGTCACCTTCATGCTGCCATCCATGTCACCCTCATGCTGCCATCCATGTCACCTTCATGCTGCCATCCATGTCACCTTCATGCTGCCATCCATGTCACCTTCATGCTGCCATCCATGTCACCTTCATGCTGCCATCCATGTCACCTTCATGCTGCCATCCATGTCACCTTCATGCTGCCATCCATGTCACCTTCATGCTGCCATCCATGTCACCTTCATGCTGCCATCCATGTCACCTTCATGCTGCCATCCATGTCACCTTCATGCTGCCATCCATGTCACCTTCATGCTGCCATCCATGTCACCTTCATGCTGCCATCCATGTCACCTTCATGCTGCCATCCATGTCACCTTCATGCTGCCATCCATGTCACCTTCATGCTGCCATGCATGTCACCTTCATGCTGCCATCCAAGTCACCTTCATGCTGCCATCCATGTCACCTTCATGCTGCCATCCATGTCACCCTCATGCTGCCATCCATGTCACCTTCATGCTGCCATCCATGTCACCTTCATGCTGCCATCCATGTCACCTTCATGCTGCCATCCATGTCACCTTCATGCTGCCATCCATGTCACCTTCATGCTGCCATCCATGTCACCTTCATGCTGCCATCCATGTCACCTTCATGCTGCCATCCATGTCACCTTCATGCTGCCATCCATGTCACCTTCATGCTGCCATCCATGTCACCTTCATGCTGCCATCCATGTCACCTTCATGCTGCCATGCATGTCACCTTCATGCTGCCATCCACGTCACCTTCATGCTGCCATCCATGTCACCTTCATGCTGCCATCCACGTCACCTTCATGCTGCCATCCATGTCACCTTCATGCTGCCATGCATGTCACCTTCATGCTGCCATCCATGTCACCTTCATGCTGCCATCCATGTCACCTTCATGCTGCCATCCATGTCACCTTCATGCTGCCATCCATGTCACCTTCATGCTGCCATCCATGTCACCTTCATGCTGCCATCCATGTCACCTTCATGCTGCCATCCATGTCACCTTCATGCTGCCATCCATGTCACCTTCATGCTGCCATCCATGTCACCTTCATGCTGCCATCCATGTCACCTTCATGCTGCCATCCATGTCACCTTCATGCTGCCATCCATGTCACCTTCATGCTGCCATCCATGTCACCTTCATGCTGCCATCCATGTCACCTTCATGCTGCCATCCATGTCACCTTCATGCTGCCATCCATGTCACCTTCATGCTGCCATCCATGTCACCTTCATGCTGCCATGCATGTCACCTTCATGCTGCCATCCATGTCACCTTCATGCTGCCATCCATGTCACCCTCATGCTGCCATCCATGTCACCTTCATGCTGCCATCCATGTCACCTTCATGCTGCCATCCATGTCACCTTCATGCTGCCATCCATGTCACCTTCATGCTGCCATGCATGTCACCTTCATGCTGCCATCCATGTCACCTTCATGCTGCCATCCATGTCACCTTCATGCTGCCATCCATGTCACCTTCATGCTGCCATCCATGTCACCTTCATGCTGCCATCCATGTCACCTTCATGCTGCCATCCATGTCACCTTCATGCTGCCATCCAAGTCACCTTCATGCTGCCATCCATGTCACCTTCATGCTGCCATCCAAGTCACCTTCATGCTGCCATGCATGTCACCTTCATGCTGCCATCCAAGTCACCTTCATGCTGCCATCCATGTCACCCTCATGCTGCCATCCATGTCACCTTCATGCTGCCATCCATGTCACCTTCATGCTGCCATCCATGTCACCTTCATGCTGCCATCCAAGTCACCTTCATGCTGCCATCCATGTCACCTTCATGCTGCCATCCATGTCACCTTCATGCTGCCATCCATGTCACCTTCATGCTGCCATCCATGTCACCTTCATGCTGCCATCCATGTCACCTTCATGCTGCCATGCATGTCACCTTCATGCTGCCATCCATGTCACCTTCATGCTGCCATCCATGTCACCTTCATGCTGCCACCTTCATGCTGCCATCCATGTCACCTTCATGCTGCCATCCATGTCACCTTCATGCTGCCATCCATGTCACCTTCATGCTGCCATCCATGTCACCTTCATGCTGCCATCCATGTCACCTTCATGCTGCCATCCATGTCACCTTCATGCTGCCATCCATGTAACCTTCATGCTGCCATCCATGTCACCTTCATGCTGCCATCCAAGTCACCTTCATGCTGCCATCCATGTCACCTTCATTCTGCCATCCATGTCACCTTCATGCTGCCATCCATGTCACCTTCATGCTGCCATCCATGTCACCTTCATGCTGCCATCCATGTCACCTTCATGCTGCCATCCATGTCACCTTCATGCTGCCATCCATGTCACCTTCATGCTGCCATCCATGGAGCGGGAGACGAGCAGGGAGGCATCGGAGCAGAAGGCGAGCCCCGTGATGTCGTCGCCCCTCTGATGCGCATCGGCACACAGCAGGTCCGGCAGCGACCCCCACCCTGTCCTCACATTCCACACCTGCCGCACATGGGAGGGTTCAGTGCGAGGAGCGGTGGAGGAGGACGGGCGGTTGTAAGAAGGGCTGTGCGCAGTGGGGCACAGCGAGAGGCAGCAGCAGCACACACACGTGTGAGCAAGACATGCCAAGCCGTGCATGCCCATACCTGCAGCGAGCCATCGTTGAGGCCAGCAGCCACCATGCGGCCATCGGGGCCCCACTCCGCTGCTGTCACCGCCACCCTCCCCGGCCGCGCCAGCTTCGGCTTCACCACCTGCCGGGAGGGGAAGGCACAGGAGCGAGGCGACCGAGAAGATCAGCTCTTCTCGAGCTGGGGGTCTCAAGCTGCCAAGCCTGCGGTTGGGGCAAATGGGGCGAAAGCAATCCCACACGCACACACACGGAGGAGGAAACTTGAGCGCACCTTGGTCTGCGACTTGAAGTCGCGCACGTCCCAGATGCGCAGCGAGCCATCATCGGACGCCGTGAGCGCCGAATGGCGCTCGCAGGGGTGCCACTGCGCGGTGGTGAGCCCAGCGATGTGCCCCTTGGTGTTGCGCAGGTCGCGGATGTACATGTCGCCCCTCACGAACTCGCCCTTGCTGCGCCCGTCCCTGTCGTACACCTGCCCCCGCCACCACGCCACATTGTTGCAGGGCCAGGGGAGAGGGCGAGGGAGCGGGCAGCAGGGAGGTTGTGAGTAGCGGGGCGGGACGAAACGGTGATAGCAACCTAGCCCGGGGCCGTGCACATCCCGTCTCTGACCCACGTGAGCAGGCTTGTATGTTGGTGGCCGGGACTACATGGGCGAGAAGAGAATGGCACCAAGAGCATGATATCCTATTCGCCTTGGTCAGAGGCAAAATGTTATGAAGCATGAAATAGGGGAGAAGAGAGGGGGAATCACCTGCGATAAAAAATAAGTATCGAGACGTCTCAGAATATCTTCATCACCCTGTGGCATCATTCTTACAAAGGAAGAGCGCGCGTTGGCGTGTGTGAAGGAGGGAAGAGGGAGGGAGCGGCGCACCTTGGCCTGCGCGTTGCCGGTGGCGACAATGAAGAGGTCGGCCGACGGGCTGAAGGACACGGCGCGCACTTGGTGGCCGTCGCACGGCAGCACCTGGCGGAAGGAGTTGAGGGAGGAGTCCATGCCATGGAAGTCGTAGAAGCGCAGCGAGTAGTCGTAGCTGCCACTTATCACCCGCGTGCCCGTTGGGTCCACCGCCAGCGCTGCCACCGCCTGCCATGCCGGGGGGGCGAGAGGGGCAGGGGGACGGGGTGAGCTTGCTAGTCGTTCACGAGTGAGGCAAATGTAGGAATGGGTGGGGCAGCTGAGAAGGCACGGGGAACGCTTCGCCTTGCCATGTGTGACTGGCGCAGTTGCCGATGGCCTCTCAGGCTGCTACAGCCCCTGCTACAGCCAGCGACCCCTGCTACAGCCAGCGACCCCTGCTACAGCCAGCGACCCCTGCTACAGCCAGCGACCCCTGCTACAGCCAGCGACCCCTGCTACAGCCAGCGACCCCTGCTACAGCCAGCGACCCCTGCTACAGCCAGCGACCCCTGCTACAGCCAGCGACCCCTGCTACAGCCAGCGACCCCTGCTACAGCCAGCGACCCCTGCTACAGCCAGCGACCCCTGCTACAGCCAGCGACCCCTGCTACAGCCAAGCGACCCCTGCTACAGCCAGCGACCCCTGCTACAGCCAGCGACCCCTGCTACAGCCAGCGACCCCTGCTACAGCCAGCGACCCCTGCTACAGCCAGCGACCCCTGCTACAGCCAGCGACCCCTGCTACAGCCAGCGACCCCTGCTACAGCCAGCGACCCCTGCTACAGCCAGCGACCCCTGCTACAGCCAGCGACCCCTGCTACAGCCAGCGACCCCTGCTACAGCCAGCGACCCCTGCTACAGCCAGCGACCCCTGCTACAGCCAGCGACCCCTGCTACAGCCAAGCGACCCCTGCTACAGCCAGCGAGCCCTGCTACAGCCAGCGACCCCTGCTACAGCCAGCGACCCCTGCTACAGCCAGCGACCCCTGCTACAGCCAGCGACCCCTGCTACAGCCAGCGACCCCTGCTACAGCCAGCGACCCCTGCTACAGCCAGCGACCCCTGCTACAGCCAAGCGACCCCTGCTACAGCCAGCGAGCCCTGCTACAGCCAGCGACCCCTGCTACAGCCAGCGACCCCTGCTACAGCCAGCGACCCCTGCTACAGCCAGCGCACCCAGGGACCATCTCACCTTGGTGTGTCCCCCCAGCACAATCTCATTGCTCAGTGGCACTCCAAACTCGTCCTCCTCCTCCGCCTCTGCGCCCTCCTCCTCATCATCCTCCTCACTGCCATCGCTCCTCTGCTCATCCTGCCGCCCTGCTGCCCGGCCCTTCTTCCGCCCACCGGGCTGCTGTGTGCCGCGAGTAGCAGGGGCAGGCGGGCCAATCAACCCTCCACCACCGTCCTCCAGGGGGCCCGGGGGGCGCGGAGGGCCGATCACCGCATGCCCCTCGCCGTCGCCCCGCACCACCGCTGCTCCCCGCCCATCCGCTGCTCCTCCACCCCTGGCCGCTCTTGCCCCACCCCCGCCCCCGTTCGCCCTTCCCGCCTCCCCGTTTGCCCCACCAGCACCGCCACTAAGCGGATTACCACCAGCCTCCCTCGAGTTGTGTTCCCCCGCTACCTCTCCGCCCATACCCTCCGCTACTCTCACTGCCCCTCCCCCCTCCGCCACACCTCCAGCGCCCGCCACTCCCACCGCCGCTGCTCCCCCCAGCCCTGCCTTAGCCCCGTCGCCTAACCTCTTCGCCAGGCTCGACCCGATGCTGAACTTCATCCCCCCAGCCTTCTTCTTCCCCTTCACCCCGGCGCGCTCCGCGTGTGCGCGCGCCGTCTGCGCGTGCACGGCCTCCAGCGGCGTGACGCGCTCCTCCTGCCGGCCAAACGACGCGGGGAAGGCGGCGCGCACCCCCAGCAGCGTCTCCCCCTCGTCGTCGTCGTCCGCCAGCGCGGCGGCGGAGGGAGGCGGGCGGAAGGGCGGGCTGTCAGGAGGACTGTCTGCGTCACAGCTGACGTCATCCATGGGAGTATCCCGGAAGTGAATGTGGGGGGGTCGTGGTGTTGCGAACGAGCGTTGGGCTTCCGGTATTTCCAGCAAGTGCGGGCTGTTGGCGTGTGAGATGGGTTAGTGGAAAAGCAAGTCGGGTGCCGTCAGCACGCGATAGCTTGCGTACTTGATTAGCTTACTCAAGCAGCAGAAACGAGGATGACAGGATTGAGTCGTCCCCTGAGATGTATAAGGACTTAGTTAGGAGGTGCTGTGCTTCATGGTTTTGAATGAGATGAGGGTGGTAACTGAATCGCAATGTATGGAGGAAAAGGTTCACATGAGAATTTTTCTGTCAAAATTTGCTTCACTGTTCGCCCAACATCTGTGCGGGTTGAACTAGTCACGATTTACTCTTCGCTTGCTGTCGTCACCCCTCGAATGCTCGGTGTGAAAACCGGGTTTCAGAATCGACCTTTCTCGCTCGATTCGCACGCCTGTTCAAATCTCTCGTCGTCTGTTCAAGGCTTGGCCCATCACGAGAAACGAAACCGACATGACCCGAACCCGAAAGCATGCGCACGGAACAGGCCTGCATTGGTTGAACATTTTAGTCTCAGCTAACAAGGGTCTTGTCCGCATTACCCGCATTTTAGTCTCTTACCTTTCAGGCCTTTGAGCTGAGGAGCGTGTAAATCTTGAGCAAGCAATATTTTTTTCCTCCCTTACGCTTCCTTGGCGTCAGGCCAACCGTTCCAGTGTAGCGTCCACCACAGCATCGAGCGAGCAGAGCTAGCTCACGATCGATGGGCATCCCTCGCCGGGCGCGTTTTCGCAGCAGCGGCGCCACGTCCACAAGTGCTTAGGTCCGCCGGCAGTACGGTGGCAGCCGCACACGCGCGTAACAAGCCGGAGATCGAGCAGCAGGCGGAGCGAATTCGTGGCGAGTAGGAAGAGACGGGGAGGCAAAGGCCGAGGCAGTCCGCATTGAGATAGCGGGGTCCGGCGGGCCGCATCGCCGTAGTTGCCGTCACCATCATCATCATCCTCATCATCCTCAGCATCCTCAGCCCCATCATCGTCCGTGAGCGTGGTGCGCGAGCATGGCGGCGGGCGCGCCCCCGGTGTTCAACCTGTTCATCATCAACAAGTCGGGCGGCCTCATCTACTACAAGGTGCAGTGCACGCCGCTACCCGCTGCTACTGCCTCCAACTCCACCTGCACGCCTTACCGGCTGCGCGCCACTTGCACGGCAGCACCTTGCACTTGCCGCCAACCCCTCTTTCATCCCCGCACCTTCCTCTTCCCCACTCCCAACCCTCCCCCCTCCACGCGACGCCACTACAGCTGCCGTGACGCCCGTGCCTCATTCCACTACAGCTTCCGTGACGCCCGTGCCTCATTCCACGACCCACTCGCCTACCCTGTACCTGCTCTGCTCTGCAACCCCTCCTCTACCCTCCTTTCCCCTCAACTCCCCCTCCCAATCTTCCCCTCGCGTAATCCTTCCCCCAGTTACGCACCACCTGCGGCCCGCCGAATGAACCCAATGTCAAAATCTCAAGCCTCGGAGCAGCACACCAGCAGTGTCTCTACTGCTAGTTACTCTCATTCCAATGTCCCAATGTTATCCCCCCCTCGTCCCCCCCCCTGTGGCAGGACTTTGGGTCGCAGAACCGGCTGGACACGAACGACTCGCTGCGCCTGGCGTCCACGTGGCACGGGCTGCACGCCATCGCCATGCAGGTGACACGCTGGGCGGGGCTGTGAGCGGCTGTGAGCGGCTGTGAGCGGCTGTGAGTGGCTGTGTGCTTCTATGCACCCCTGATGCATGCCTCCATGCCATGCCCATTGTAACTCTTGATACCCAAATAAAACACTGGAGTCGTATCCATTGCATCGCACCGACAGCATGTGCGCTGGCATGGTAGTCGAACCCACGACTACGTCCGCCCCTCGTGTCATGGGCCCCCATGAGCAGCTGTCGCCCATCCCCAACGGTGGCGGCATTGAGATGCTGGAGGCGGGCACCTTCGACCTTCACTGCTTCCAGACTCTCACCGGTGCGCCCACCTCTCTTCCCTTCCCCACATCGCTGTTCTCATCCCATCACCCATGCTCCCCAGCCACCATGGTTGTGTGATGTCCTTTCCCAAGTTACTACCGTCAATCTAGACCGGACTATACTAGACTAGACTCTAGCCCTTAGTAGTCAGCCATTAGCGAGCACTACCTTGGATTGCTTTGTGGTTTGCGCCTTCGATCAGCAGCGGGCGTCAAACGGCCGCACGAAGTTGTTAGCAGGTTCTCAGTATGGTATGGGCGAGGAACGGGGAAGAAAACTTTTCTCACAAGATTTTTCACACACAAATGTATTTGTATTTTACGCAACATAGGCCTCAGGGCATGCCTCCATATCTCCTTTCTCCGCCACCCTGTGCAACCCATGCATCCCACGTATCTCCTCCCCCTTCCCCTCTCTATCTCTCTTACCCCACGTATCCCGTGTTCCCTCCCCCCCCCCCCCCAGGCACCAAGTTCTTCATAGCCACGGAGGTGGGCTTCACGGGGGCGCCCACGCTACTCGCAATCATCTACGACCTCTACACCGACTATGTGCTCAAAAACCCCTTCTATGAGGTGCCCCTCTACACCGACTATGTGCTCAAAAACCCCTTCTATGAGGTGCCCCACTACACCGACTATGTGCTCAAAAACCCCTTCTATGAGGTGCCCCTCTACACCGACTATGTGCTCAAAAACCCCTTCTATGAGGTGCCCCTCTACACCGACTATGTGCTCAAAAACACCTTCTATGAGGTGCCCCTCTACACCGACTATGTGCTCAAAAACCCCTTCTATGAGGTGCCCCTCTACACCGACTATGTGCTCAAAAACCCCTTCTATGAGGTGCCCCTCTACACCGACTATGTGCTCAAAAACCCCTTCTATGAGGTGCCCCTCTACACCGACTATGTGCTCAAAAACCCCTTCTATGAGGTGCCCCTCTACACCGACTATGGTCTCAAAAACCCCTTCTATGAGGTGCCCCTCTACACCGACTATGTGCTAAAAAACCCCTGCTACACTGCAATTAGACGTGGTTTCATGCATCTGATGTAGTATAATGCATTTGATGTAGTGTCATGCATTTGATGTATTGTCATGCATTTGATGTAGTGTCATGCATTTGATGTAGTGTCATGCATTTGATGTAGTGTCATGCATTTGATGTAGTGTCATGCATTTGATGTAGTGTCATGCATTTGATGTAGTGTCAACCCCCCCCCCCCCCCCCCCCCCCCCCCGCCACGCCATGCACACCAGGTGGAGATGCCCATCCGCTGCGACCTCTTTGACCTGCACCTGCCCGCTGCCATCCGCAAAGACCGCTCTCTACTCGCCGCTGGGGTCGTCGTGCCGGGCCGATCATAGTGCACGCACACAAGTTGGGCCCAAAGTGGCTCTTGTAGACTAAGTAGTACGGTAAGCACCACCATGCGAGCCATGTGGATTGGGGCCTGTGAGCAGGCTGACGTCTAAAACGATGATAAGCACTTGGAGGGGAAGTAAATGGGAAAACTGATGGCACTTCATCTTTGTTAGACCAATTGGAGGTACTGGTATTACCTTACTCCCAACCGTCGTTTTAGGCTTATTACATAGCCAACATGTGCTATTTCCCGGCAGGTCGACGAAATCGAGGGTTGTGAATGCTGCTTTTCTAACCATCGGGGCTTTAGAGCAGAACCTCGCTTCGTGTAAAGGGTTAGTGGAATTGTGGCCTGTGTTTGTTCCGTCACCAATAACATGAAATAATTGTTTTGCTTCACCTCACACCAAATGAGGTGTAGATATCACAAACACCACATTCGCCCACATTCGCCCACAAACGGCTGGGCCAAAATCGCTGATCACCTCGGCCCAATGCCCCGAGGGAACGCACAAGTCGCCGCGTCCACAGCTCGACGTGCAAGCCACGTCCGTGCTCGCATCCTCCACCCACCCACCCTCTCCGCTCGTCCTCTCCACCCATGCTGCGCGCGACGCTCCCCCCTCGCTGGCTGCACTGCGCGCCAATTCTCTCGGCGTCCCGCCACTCGCTGTGCTCGCGCGTCACGCGCTGCCCTCTCAGCATTGCGTTCCCTCGCCTCGATCGTCCCGCGCTCCAAGCTTCACCTCGCCGGACTGTCATGGATGACGCGGCGCCTCGAAACGACCAGCACGCTACCGCCGCGGACGTGTCGCGACAGGACGAAAGCACGGTTACCAGACTGGACGAGAGTGTGGTTACCAAACACGCCGTTGCGAGCGGGGAGCAACGGCGCGTGGTATTCGAGATTCGCGCGACGGACGGCGAGGCCCGCTTAGGATTCATCCGCGCGACGCGCGTTGGCGAGGCGGGGAGAGGAGGGGATGAGAAGGCAGGCATGCAGGGCGCTGAGGAGGGGCCAGGAGTGCAGAGCGGTGGTGAGTGGTTCGAAGTGGCGACACCCGGCCTGCTGGCGTACACGCGGCGGGGACTGCCGGTGCATCTGACGCCGGACGTGGCTCAGTCGCTGGGGTTCGCCGGGTGGACCGCATGCTCCACCCACTTGTGAGTGCACCACCCTGCTACCCTGCCGCCCTGCCGCACCTGCCGCCCTGCATGCACGCACCACAGCGTGCCTGTGGCGTGGCAGCGCGCATTGCTCACATGGCGCCACCACGTGTGCTCCAGTCGCCGGCTCCAACACCCCGGGGGGCTTACTCTCCTTCCCACCCTCCCCCTCCCCCTCCTCCTCCCCCTCCCGCTCCCCCTCGAATGGTCCTCCTGCTACCCTCTCCTCCCCCTCCCTCTGCCTCCCCCTTCCCGTCCCCCTCCCCTTTCCCCTCGCCTTCCCCCCTCCCCTCCCCGTGCAGTCTCGGCAGCCCCGCCCACCAGACCGTTGCCGCCCACAGCCGTGCACGCGCCCCCACCCCCACCGCCGCCGGGCTGCACGGCTTCCTGGCGCTGCCGCCCGCCACGCTCATGCTCGCCTCGCCACGCGACGCGCTGCTCTTCCCGGGCGGCCAGCAGGGCGGCAAGGCCTCGGCACGGCCTGCCACGTGGTTTGACACGCCCAGCGGCCGCCGGCAGGTGGGGCGGCGGTGGATGGGAGGGCAGGCAGGCGGGGCGGCGGTGGATGGGAGGGCAGGCAGGCGGGGCCGCAGTGGCAGGCAGGGGAGTTGAGGGGACTGGTGGTGGCGATGTGCAGTGGTCACACCCCCCTGGGTGCATCTTCCCTGCTCGCTCCCACCCACCTTCACTACCCCACTCACCCTTGCACGCACCACCTCTGACCCTACCTGCCACTCATGCTTCCACCCTCCTTTGCCTGCACGCATCACCACTGGCGCCCCACATCACCACTGGCGCCCCACATCACCACTGGCGCCCCACATCACCACTGGCGCCCCACATCACAACCATGCCCGCCATGAGCGCCCCACATCACAACCATGCCCGCCACCCTGTGCTGCCCTCCTCACACACGCAGGTCACTCCAGAAGACCACAGTGCCATCGTGGCATCTCTGCTGCCACATGTCGCCATCCCATTGCACGATGCACCGCCCGCCACGTCATCACTGAATCGTCACCGAGTGGCTGTGCAGCGATCGCTGACGTGGCTGGATGAGGAGCTGCGATTGGCTGAAGAAAGAGGGGGAACGAAAACAGTGAGTGGGAATGCGAAGCCAGCAGCACAGCGCATGGATGCCACGCTGTGCCACTTCATCTCAGTTGCAGCGCTGTATCACAGCAGTGCCAGCCCCTTTTGGTATGGTGTGGTGCCGTGTGGTGTGGTGTGGTGTGGTGCGGTGCGGTGCGGTGCGGTGCTGTGTGCAGGCGCTGCTAGGAGCGGTGGTGGGGGGGCCGTTTGAGGAGGAGAGGAGGCGGTCGGCCCGCGAGACTGCTGCGAGGACAGGCCTGGCAGGTGGGGTGGGGGGATGGCACGTGGGGTGGGGGGATGGCACGTGGGGTGGGGGGATGGCACGTGGGGTGGGGGGATGGCACGTGGGGTGGGGGAATGGCACGTGGGGTGGGGGGATGGCACGTGGGGTGGGGGGAAGGCACGTGGGGTGGGGGGATGGCACGTGGGGTGGGGGGATGGCACGTGGGGTGGGGGGATGGCACGTGGGGTGGGGGGATGGCACGTGGGGTGGGGGGATGGCACGTGGGGTGGGGGGATGGCACGTGGGGTGGGGGGATGGCACGTGGGGTGGGGGGATGGCACGTGGGGTGGGGGGATGGCACGTGGGGTGAGGGGATGGCACGTGGGGTGGGGGGATGGCACGTGGGGTGGGGGGATGGCACGTGGGGTGGGGGGATGGCACGTGGGGTGGGGGGGTGGCACGTGGGGTGGGGGGATGGCACGTAAGGTGAGGGGATGGCACGTGGGGTGAGGGGATGGCACGTGGGGTGAGGGGATGGCACGTGGGGTGAGGGGATGGCACGTGGGGTGAGGGAATGGCACGTGGGGTGAGGGGATGGCAGGTGGGTGAGCAGTAGGTGCAAGCAATGAGAAGGCCACGAGAATCCACCTGTCCACCCGTGCATGCTCATAGATGACGCCCTCCTCTCATACATGACGCCCTCCTCTCACTCCCGTCTCACCCCTCACCATCTCCCCCGCACCCATGCGCCCCTGAGTCCTCCTTTTGCTCTCACTCTCCCCGTGCGGTGCCTTGCCGTGTGGGCCCCGTGTGCCCGCCGTGCAGGGTACCACGTGGCGGGGCTGGGCCTGGGGGAGGCACTGCCGCACAGGGACGCGCTGCTCGCCGCTGC